ACACACACACATATATATACAGAGAGAGAGAGGCATTTATTATCAAGGAAATGGCTTAAATTGAAAAGTTCCTGGTTCCCAGTGGAAGAGTGAGAGAAAGTCCATTACATTGGGAGCAGGCCACACCCACAAGGAGGCATCCCTTCAATTGATGTTACTCTTAACTACTCATCATAGAGTCAACTATGCCTATATGGGAATAAGCACATCTCAACTGCTAAATCTCTGGAAATCCTGACTTATTCAAGATCACATGGAACCCTAACCATTACACGCTACTTTCAAGCAAAATCTGTCTACATCAGTAATGACATTCCTCATTCCATGGTCTCATCTGAATTGTGCTTAAACTTCTCACAGTTACCTGTTTATGTACTGCTACAACTGTTTGTTTTTAAAAAAATATTCTTAAGCAAACTTTTGTTTGAGTGTGTTATTAATAATGTTTGATAAGTTCTATGTTTTGCTGGATCACATTTCTTTGAAATGGACACAAATATGGATCTCTTCCATTCAATTGACCAGGTGCCTGTCTTCCAAATTTATTGGTACAGATGTATAAGCACTTTCAGCTTTGAATTTCTTTATTGAAACATCTCTATCGGTATTTCATCAATTCTTGGAGGCTGGTTTTTCAGCAATGCCTTCAGTGCATCTTGGATGTTTTCCTTCAATAAGGTCTTGATCATATGCTGTCTCCTGAAATGTTTGAACACTGATCAGTTTATTTGGTACAGCAACTCTGTATTCCTCACATTTTCTTTAGATGTTGCTTTAGGTCAGTCAATATTTCTTTCTATTATTGTTGTTGATAAGTACTATTGATTAGGTTCCAAAGAATGGTGGGTTTGAATCACCCACCTTTGGTTATCAGTCCAGTGCTTATTCCATAGTGCCACACAAGGACTATGTGTTGCCTATAGGATCTTCAATATTCTAACTCAAGACTTAATTTTTTCTTTACCTTTTAGCTTGAAAAATGTTGAGTGTATTCTTCCTTTTTTGTTTTCGAATTCCAAGTCTTGGAAAATTCCATTATAATACTTTGTTTTGTCTTCTCAAGCTGCCTTTTGAAGTCTTCTATTCAACTCCCTTATTTTATTTTATTTTTTCCATTTGTTTGGCTTCTGTACATATAAGAGCAAGTTTCTGAGACTCATCTGACATCAATTTTCACCTTTTCTTTCCTTACTTTCATTTTAATTATCTTTTGCTTTCTTCATTATGATGTCCTTGATGTCATTCCACAACTTCTCTGACCTTTGATCATTAGTGATCAATGTGGCAAATTTATTTTTAAGTTGATCTCTAAATTCTGTTATTATTTTGGGTCTTGTATATTCATTTCAATTTTCTTCAGCTTCAACTTAAACTTGCATATGAGCAACTGATGATCTCTTCCACAGTCCAGGCCTTGTTCTGACTGATGATATTGGTCTTTCCTATCTTTTCTTTCCACCGATATGAGCAATATGATTTCTTTATGCATCATATTAGGTTTTATTTTATATGCAAAACAATTGTTACTCTAACTCTGAAAGAAGGTCAATTTTATGTTTATTTACGGAGAAGGAAAGTGAACTCTAGGAAGTCAAGTAACTTGATGAAGTTTACATATTGTATATATTGAACTCAAAGGTCAATAAAAGTCTTTATAAAGGTGATATTTTTCAGCACAATATGAATTTCCTGTATAATTTCAGTGTAATTAAGGATGGAGTAGTAGCAAGGGTAACTGTTTCACTTTTCATTTCCTAAGAAAAAGTCAAAAGAAAAAAAACCACAAAAACTTGTCTTCATGCAGATTTGGCCTTTGAAAATGATTGTCTCAAAAGACCCTATTTCTTCTGTAGTCTGGTTTTTACCCCAACATTCTTCCTTTACATAAATATCTTGACATTTGGATGATTAATTGCTCACCAAAGCTTGCCTTTGATTTTCCACATCTTTTTTTTTTGCAATGACCTAATTTTCATTTTTACCTTGCCTTGCATCTCATCAAATCCTACTCATTCATTTTTTAAAACATATCTTGAGGTACTTCTCACATATGACCAAGATCCCTTCAGTTCAAGTCCCATAGTATGCCCTACAAGATGACAAGTTAGCTATTGCAAGTTTTTGTATATTGTGTATTTTACAGAAATTTTATTTTAAATAGAGAGATCACATGTTATATATGTTTGTATCTATGTCATAATGCATTATATTTAATATACACTGTAAATATTTTATTATTGAAATAATGAATGTTGTTATAGCTTATATATGTTTTACTTTTCCCATGAGAATTCTAAGGTAGTATAAAACCATATGTTTATGTCTACCATTCAAGCCAAAGATATAGATCTCCATGTTAATTGTGCTATTAGTAAGTACCCTCGAGGCAGTTCTGATTCATAGTGACCCTGTATAGCATTTTTGAGGAGTGGCTGGTGAGTTTGAACCCCCAACTTTGCGGTTCAAATGACTTTTCAGTTCATCACATTAGCCTGTAGTGCCACCCTAGAGCTCTATTGTTGTTGTTATGTGCCGTGGAGTCGGTTAGGACTCATAGCGACCCTGTACAGGGTTTCCGAGGCTGTACATCTTTACATGAGCAGAACGCCTCACCTTTCTCCTGCGGAACAGCTGGTAGTTTCGAACTACTGACCTTGTGCTTCGCAGCCCGATTCATAACCACTACGCTACTAGATCTCTATAGATGTCATCAATACTCTTTCAAGAAATACTAAAGTACCAAAAGTATTTGCTTCATTCTAGTGAGTTCTGACATAGTATTGCTTCTAATGAATTAAACGTTTCTCTCTTGGCTCCTCTTTCTGGGTGGCAGTGCGATCACCCTTACTGTTTTTAAGGTGGATCCTTTAAAACAAAGCATGCTGGCAAAATTGACCAATTGTCACATTAAATTCCCCAATTTTTTACAATCACAATTAACCTTTTAACAATCACTCACAACTGAATCATATAATCTACCAGCATCTTCCCCACACATTCTGTAACTCAGATCCTTTAGGGAAAATGTGTTTGGTGAGAGTTACAAAAACAATGGATAGGAAGACATTACATAATTCATTTCTATTCAGGGAAAAAAATCCATTATCTTTTAATTCCATGTTTCTATGAACTTTTAGAATAATAAAAATACATGATTATTTATTGATCCTATAGTACATTATAATCAGGCAAACGTTACAAAAAATAAGTTGGAAAATTATAATTAATTAAAACACTAGACCTGAAGAAGAAGTATGGAAGAAAATGCAAAGTAAAGACTAGTAGGAAAAGTTAAGCCAAGTACATAGTTTAAGAACACTGATTCCTCTCTCCTATATTTACAGTGTGGTACAAAGAGCGATATAATGATCTAGAAAAGTATGTGTGCTCCATAAAGAATAATGATTTTCTCATTGAACATTATCACCCATGTGGAGCACTTACAGTCAATCATGTAAGTAGAAATTGCTTTTAAGAATGAATAAAGTTTCTAGATTTGTATATATCTGCATAAGGGATAGAAAATTAATTTATTGCATTTTATAATTTTTAGATAAAGAAATATGGAGTTCCTTTAGACCTTGGATTATCTCCCCGGGAAAGCATATTGCTCTATGATGCTATGGTACATGTTTGGCCTGAATGGTCAAGAATGCAGGTGCGTATAGATAGATAGATAGATAGATAGATAGATAGATAGATATACTGATAGAGAGAGAGAGAGAGATGATATAGCTATTGCTTTGCAGGGCATTAATAATGAACCATTTGGTAAGTGGCACTTATTCTGGTATGTTGTTGTTAAGTGCCATCAAGTCGAATCTGACCCATAGCGACCCTGTATAGCGTTTCCAAGGAGCAGCTGGTGAGCTTGAACCACTGACCTTGCAGTTCAAACAACTTTTCAGTCTGACACATTAGCCCACAATGCCACACCAGGACTTCTATTCTGGCATAGACTACATTATTCTGCTCTCATGAAAGCCTTCCAATTGTTTTTATAGTGTAATTTTCTTTAGAAAAAAGAAATTAAAATTGCTAAATTGTTTATTTTAAAATTATATATTCATCTAAATTTGACAAGGGATTATTATAAACACTTTATAAATAATAACTCAGTAAATCTTCACAGCAACCTACAACCTATATTGCCTTTAAAGGCAATATAACCATAGACTATGGTATCACAGGGCTAAAGAATTGGGAAAATCAGTTAAGTATTCTACCTTTACAATTTTTCCTCTGTCAAAAGAACACAATCAGACCGACATTGTAGGTTGTTGTGAAGATTAACTGAATTATTATTTATAAAGTGTTTATAATAATCCCTTGTCAAATTTAGATGAATATATAATTTTAAAATAAACAATTTAGCAAGTTTAATTTCTTTTTTCTAAAGAAAATTACAATATAAAATTAATTTGTGTTGGAAGGCTTCCAGGAGAACAGAATAATGTAGTATTCAACCAATGCAACAAAAATAGTCTCTCTACATGCAATTGACTTTAACTGAATATGGTTGGGTATTAACTGTTTGATAGATTGACTTTATAGTGGTGTATATGGAAAACTTTGAAAGGATGATGATTCCATTCCCATTGCTATTTGTGGTACTTCATTTTCAAGGAGTTGGAACCTGAGGAATTCAGTTGCTTTAAAAATAAAGTAGTCATCATGAGGAGAGATGCAAAAAAATATGAAGAGGAGCTGAAAAAGGAAATGATTCATTGGATTCAACTGGACACAGGCAAGGTAGTTAAAATCATTCAGGCTTTACTTAAGCAGGAGATTAATATGAAATGAAACTGATTTCTTTATTTTGGTACGGGACAATTTTCCTTTTATAAAAAACTCTTAATAATTTGGGTATGTAAATTCTATTATCAAGCTTGATCTCCTACCTTAAATTTACCTAACTAGGTGCCCCAGTGGCACAATAAGTTAAGCACTTGGCTAATTTTTAAAAATATTTACATTTAATTCCCAACATTTTCCATAAACTGCTCTTTTCACTATTTTGATTTTCACTTTCAGATATCAGCTTATATTATTATGTAATTTTTTTAAATCACAAATATTTTATGGTCTACCTATTATTTATGAAAATTTTACTAGGTGGATCAGCTACTGAAGTACCTTAAGCCTCAAACTTTTGACAGTCCAGAAACTGAAAAGCGAAGTATGCTTCCCTGCTTTGTGGAAAAACTTAAAGAAATGAATAGGTTACCTGCAATATTTTTTTCGTAAGTAATGTTTTGTGCAGATATTACTATACTTGAATTTGTATGAATGTGAAAACATTTCAAAATTATTATTAAGGATGAATATATATGCTCTGATTTGTGTTTTATAGAATTTTGAAGAACTTTAACTCTATTTATGTTCAAACCATATTTAGACTTCAAACCACAAGATCAGCAGTTGAATCTCACTAGTTGCTCCTTGGAAATTCTATGCTATGAGTTGGAACTGAAGCACAGGAATTAAACAACAACAAGAGGGGACAGGGGAAGGGAGGGAAAGAGGGAGAGAGACAGACAGAGAGAGACCTGGTATGGTACTGTGTGGACTACTGCACTGGACTGCAACGTTGTCTTGAACTGCAAGGTGAATGGTTCATGCTCACCAGCGTCTCCTTGGAAACCGTATACAGGGTCCTTATATGCCGGAACCGATTCAATGGTACTTAACAACAACAATATATATATATATATTGTTGTTGTTAAGTGCCATCGAGTCGATTCCAACCCATAGTGAACCTGTACAGGGTTTCCAAGGCTGTAAATCTGTAAATCTTGACGGCAGTAGAAAGCCTCATCTTTCTCCCGTGAAGCGGCTGGTAGTTTTGAACTGCTGACCTTAAGGTTCGCAGCCCGATTTGTAACCACTACGCTACCAGAGCTCCTTTAGTTCTGCATTGTTGTTGTTGTTAAGTGCCGTCGAGTCGGTTCCGACCCATAGCGACCCTGTACAGGGTTTCCGAGGGTGTAAATCCCTACGGGAGTAGAAAGCCTCATCTTTCTCCCGCGGAGCGGCTGGTAGTTTCGAACCGCTGACCTTAAGGTTCGCAGCCCGATTCGTAACCACTAAGCTACCAGAGCTATCGATATAGATATAGATATATACAGATATAGATATATACAGATATAGATATATATGCATATATCTATATGGAGTCCTAGTTGCATTTTGGGTTAGGCGTTGGGCAGCTGACCACAGGTTGGCTATTCAAATACACCAGCTTGTTTGCAGGAGAAAGATGAGGCTGTCTGTTCATGTAAAGCTTTTCAGTCTCAGTGGCTATTCCAACTCAACTGAAAGTCAGAGTCAATTTGATGGCAGTGCAAGCATCTACCTATCCACACATAGTCCTTATACATACAGACATTCAAAGAATATGGTCAGATAATTGTGAGTCAAATTTTATACTGTTTCAAGTGCCTATAAAGGGAACTTGAATTTTATCTTGTAGTAAACCGGAAACATTGTGAACAAAGATATGATAAAAGACTAAAAATAATGAAGTAGAAAATTGTTCATCAAATAATTAACTAATGGTAACAAAGAAACAAAGGTACTGTTCTGCACAAATATTCAGAAATCTTTACATAGGGGTTTTTTAAATGGGAAAGGAGCAGTTTTAATCCAGTGAAGAGCCTTAACCGAACTTTCCATTTATCATATTTATTATTTTAAAATTTGCTTAACAGGCTCTCCTTTCTCTCACACAGACAGACTCTGAGTTAGGAAACTATGATTGTCTAAGGAAATATTTTTACTGCCAAAAATCCATTTCGTGTTGTAGATAGGTTGAGTGATACTACCAAATGATTATCAAATAATGTCATCAATTTTTAACTTAGATTCAACATCCACTCAGTGGAATTATCAACTTCGCACCTTTTTACTAATTTGATAAATAAGCAAAATGCTCATAAATATCCAAATTTTGAAAAACAGAGGAAAATTTTGGAAAGGAAACTATTGAAAGTGAGAAAATCTCAAAAGAGAAACATTTCTGTGTAAGTATGATTTCTACTTGAAATACAAAATAAATAAGACATGAATTTTTATTGATTCTTATTTAAAAAAACTAAGCTGTTTTTATCACTCAAACTTATTTTTATAATGTTGTGATGTGACTCCTATTCCTTTTTATGTAACACATCCAGTTAATCTAATTACAGCATACTCAGGAATCACATCGAGATAATTATTTAATATTTTAATGATTATTCAGTGGTTTGCAATACTTTTTGTTTTCATTTTATTAGTATACTTTTCTCCATTTCATTTAGAAGCCCAAAGTATAAGTTTGTTTTTTTAGAAATTTTAAGTTTACAATTTTGCAGAAAACAGAGTGTGTGAATTTATGTGCTTATAAAGAATAACAATTAAAAATATCATCTACATTATTATAGCAAGTTGTCAGACATATTTATCTTTTAATCTTACACTTAAGAAGTATGATGACAGTATGTTTATACCTTTATTTCTGTACATCAAATATTGTCTTAGATTAAGAATATCACTTTGTTATTTTTATTTTATTCTAAAATGCAAATTAATCTGAGCAACAAACATCATTATGTGATAGAAAATTTTTATTATAATTCAGTTCTCTTTTCTGACTCTTGAGAGAAATAATACCTACATCATAATGGAAAAAAAGTCATTCTTTTCTTTTTGTATCAGATGTATTTCTAAGACGAGATCCATCTGAAACTTAAATTGAGACCTAAATCAGACCTATATTGAGGTCTCAAAAGAGTAAAAATGTACACATCTGTGAGGATCCATGTCTCATGGGAGCAGTTGATCTTTCACATACTAAACCAAAGAAACTCAAACTCTATACCATCAAGTCCTTCTGACTCCTGGTGATACCATGTGTCTGTCACACAGTAGAACTGTTCCACAGGGTTCTTCTTGACTGTGTCTCTAGACCTTTCTTCTAGAAAGGTCTCCTAGTGGTACCACTGGGTGAGTTTCAACATTTAGATTTGTTGCTGCTGTTGTGTGCCATTGAGTCAGTTTTGACTCATAGAGACTCTGTAGAGGGTATCCAAGAGCTGCTAGAGGGTTTAACTGTTGATCTTGAAGATTCCAATCCAGTGGCACACCAGAGCACCGGGTTAGCAGTCAAGCGCAAATTATTAGTATCACTTAAGGACTTCATTTACGAAACAGTGGCTATAAACCTGTTGCATTCTGTGTGATATAGGTGTCCCCATGGATGCAATATGCTGTTGTTGCTAAGTATTGCCAAGTCAGTTTCGACTCATAGCAACTCTGTATAGAATTTTCAAGGAGCAGCTAGTGCGGTTGACCTCATAACTCAAACCGACTTTGTGGTCCAGTGCTTTATCCCATAGCACCACACCAGGGTATAGGAATTTTCTAGTTGCCCAACAAACCTGATTCCTCTTTCTTTCATGCCAGTCCACTCAGATGATGACTTATAGATTCAGAAGTAAGTCTACATTAAGTGCTTCTTAATGCATATATTAAAAAATAATTTAAATGACCAATTTAAAAGCTGAAATCAGGTAATCAAGGCCTAATTAATATCCTCCAATGGAGTCCTCTAATAAAGTCTTGGTGTTCTGGTGTGGTTCTGTACAATAAGCACTTGACCATCAGGTAGGTTTGAACCACAAAGTTGATGGTTCAAACTCACCAGCCATTGTTTGAAAACCCTATACAGGGTAGTGATGAGTCAGAACCAAATTGACACACTTGACAACAATAACAATATCCTCTAGTAGGGGCAATCAGGACCCCTGGTGGTAGAGTGAGTTGTTAAGGGGTGTTCTGCTAACTGAAAGACTGCTGCTTCATATTCACCAGTCTCTGTGGGAGAAGAGAAACAGTTCATGTCTGTAAAGATTTATAACTTTTGAAGTCCTATGGAACAGTTCTACTCTATCTTATAGAATCATCAGGAATTGGAATCAAATCTGTAGTAGTGGGTTTGGTTTGATTTGGCTTAATAGGGTCAATTGTGTTTGGGGTTTAAATTATCTGTCATTCTTTTCGTCTGTAGCGTATAGACATAATTTGAAATGTAAGAAATAAAGGAGGATGCTAAAATCACTGCATGATTGATTTTTCTAATTATATTTTTTGTTCAGTTTTTTAAATTCAAACTCTGGTGCCAGAATTCAAAGACTTATTTTAGGGATGGCTGAAATAAATGAGATAAAGAAAAGTCTTAAGAAACTTACAAAAGTTTCTCCAGATTGCACATATGCTGACCGTTCAGTTGTGGATAATCAGGTAAGAGAAAAGAAAAAGGTGCAAATTTGTTAATGTATATGTGTGTATCTATACTGTTCTACTCAATTTATAAGGTATAAATGAGTAGAAATTGTATTGCTGTAGAGTAAACACTGGACTGCTAACCACAGGATCAGTGGTTCAAACACAACAGCCACTCCTCAGCAACCGTTATAAAGGGTTGCTATGAGTCAGAACCGACTCAACGGCACTTAACAACAATAACAACAAACAACAAACTTTAAATTAATTTTGAACAAACAGAAGAACAAAGTTAGAAATTAAGGCAATTTGTATACATTTTATAGCTATTAAAAGCAGCTCAGATATTCACGTCATTGTTGTTGTGAAGTGCTGTCGAGTCAATGCCGACCCATAGTGACACTGAGCAGCTGATGAGCTTCAACCACTGTGTTCAAAGGACTTTGCAGTCTGATGCATTAGCCCACAGCACCACACCAGGACTCCATGTCATTAGAGAGATGCAAATCAAAGCAAAATGAGATATCTTTCTCCAGCATTAATAGCAAAGCTCAAAAAAATCCAAAAACAACAAATGCTGGGAAGGGTGTGGAATGACTAGGACCATGTACATTGCTGGTGGGATTGTAAAATGGTGCAACCATTATAGAAAATGGTGTGGGGCTTCTTCAAAGAGTTGGAAATAGCAATGCTGTATTAGCCAGCAACACTCCACTTTATATGTTCTTGTTGTTGTTAGGTGCTGACCCATAGTGATCCTGCAAAAAATGTCTGAAGCTGGTGAACTTGAACCACAGATCTTGCATCTCAAACCAACTTTGCATTAACCCACAGCACCACACCAGGACTCCCTACTTGGTATGTTGTTGTTATTTTAAGTGCCGTTGAGTTGATTCCAACCTGTAGTGACCCTATATAGGTTTTCCAAGGAGCAGTTGGTAAGCTTCAACCACTGACCTTGCAGTACAAATGACTTTGCAGTCTGACACATTAGCCCACAGCGCCACACCAGGACCCCATTTGGTATATGTCCCCACAAAATGAGAGCCTTGACACACCTATGTTCATCATAGCACTATTCACAAAACCCTAACTACCCATTAGTGAGAGAGTAAATAAACAAATTTTGGTAAATACACACAATTGAATACTATAAAATGTTGAAGAATAATGAATCTGAGAAACACTTCATAACATGGATGAACCAGGAGGACATTACACTGAGTGAATTAGTCAATCACAAAAAAGACAAATATTGTATGAGATCACTATTTTAAAAACTCAAGAAAAAGTTTTCATGCTAAAATAAATAGTCTTTGATGGTTAACAGAGGTGGAAGAGAAGGGAGAGCAATTCACTGACTTAGAGGGTAGACACATGTTAGCTCGATGACAGGGAGGGATATATATAAGAAGAGGGAAATTGGTAGTAGAATGATGAAGACAGATAAGGACACAGGGAGGAATTCAAGTGTTAAAGGTGATAAAGTTAAATACTGTTATATACACAACCATGCAGCAGTAATGTTGTATGGGTAGATACAGGGACAGATACACAGGCTGAATGGGTATGGAAGGGAGAATGGAAGTATACTCACAATATACAAGAGTACATGGATATTTACCTTTGTGTAAACATACTTTTGAATGTGGTGGAGCATACAGGGGTCAAAATGAGGAAAGTTTAATAGATACTACCAAGTATCTTAAGGCAATGAGTTGCTGGGCCTGTGGCATTGGAAAAGCAGGTTAATGAGAACCATGCTAAGGGCATGGATGGATTTTGGATTTTGGTTCAAACCTAAGAACACTTTGATCCCTCACCCAACTATTTTTATTCAGTTTACATATTGCCACTGAGCTGGAAACTTTTTTTTTAAATTTTTTTTTTAAGCTCATTAGAACTACCAACATTAAAAGGTCTTGGAGAAAGTACTGACTTTCACTACCAAGTAGCTATGGGGGAAATTTTAGGGTGCATATAATCAATAGAAGGAGCTTTGGTAGCATGCATAGTGGTTACATAGTGGTTATGAATTGGGATCAGCAGTTTGAAACTACCAGATGTTCCGCAGGAGAAAGATGAGGCTTTCTGCTCCCATAAAGATTTACCTCCTCAGAAACCCTGTACAGGATCTCTATGTGTCAGAACCAACTCCACGGCACATAACAACAACAATGTACTTTACAGGGAAGTTCTGGTATGTCACTGTGGATTAATGTTCTGGACTGCAAAGTCAGTATGAACCATGAGGTCAGTGGTTCAAGCTAACCAGCTGCTCTTTGAAAACTTGTATCGGCTCGCTATGGGTCAGAATTAAGTCAACGGCACTTAGTAACAACAACATAGTCAATTGGAGTCCTAGTATGGTGCTGTAGGCTAATGCACTGGACTGGGAATTTATTTGAACCACAAGGTCAATGGCTCAAGCTCACCAGCCGCTTTTGGGAACCCTATACAGGATGGCTATGGGTCGGAACTGACTCGACAGCACTTAACAACAACACAGTCAGTGAGGACTATAGATGAAGTGTATTTGAGTGTACACAATGAATGTATTTAAGAATAAACTATATTCTTATTAGATACCATGCATGGTTGTCAGGTATTACAGTAGTATTATAGTTTAAATTATACATAGATATTATATTTAAACCTGAAATATAGTTAAATATCAGGCATTTTGTTGGTCAAAAGGCTTCAGATTCTGACCTAAAAAAAACTACTCTTCTAGAAGTGTATCAAGCTCTTCAATGATTTCTAAATAATCTTTTAACATATAATTTCCTTGCTAAATTGAAGAATTAATTTTACACTGAAAAGTATTTATTTGGATATTTCAGACTCTAATGAAGATCTTACATAGAATTAAAAGAACAAGACAATATAACAAACTGCGCAATCTGTTATGGCGGGGCATTGGATACCATCATGGCTCAATGGAATATAAACAAAGACAAGTTGTAGAGATGCTGTTCAGAATGGGACATGTTAAGGTTGGTGAACATTGAGGATAATTTTCCTAAAAGCACTGCCTTCATTTCATCCTTTGGAATAAGATGCTGTTAGTTGCCAGCAAGTTGACGCCAACATTCTATTATCATTTAATACCATTTTCCAAGAACTTTTTGAAGCCCCCCATATATGGTGACTTGTGGTATGGCATTGTAGAATCAGCAATGAACTGTGAACCACAAGGTTAACAGTTCAAACCCACCAGCTACTCCCCAGAAATCCTATACTGGGTCACTATGAGTTGGAACTGACTCAATGGCACTTAACAATAACATATGTGGTGACCTTAAGTATAGCAGAAAATAACGTCATGTGATCCTGCAAAAGCTTCATGATCTTTGACATGTTTGAGTCCATTACTACAGTTATTGTGTCAATCCATCTAACTATTGGTTTCTATCCTTTTTCTGTCCTTCCTCAGAAACCATATTCAGTGTTGTTGTTAAGTGCCATAAAGTCAGTTCTGACTCGTAGTGACCCTGTATAGGTTTCTGAGGAGCGATTGGTGAGCTTGAACTGCCAACCTTGCAGTTTAAACTAACTTTTCAGTCCTGTGCATTAATCCTCAGCATTGCTATGAGTCAAAACTGACTTGATGGAACTTAACAACAACAACTTTACCAAACTTGCCATTGTTTTCTGCCGGGGATTTGTCTCGACATAGGGGTTCAGTTCACGAGGTGGAGATACCTGACGGCGATAGAGATAGCAAAAGAGACACAGAGACGCAAAGAGAGAGACAAAGAGACACTCTGAAACCAGAGTGAGTTCTGGACTGGCATCAGGCAGAACCTGCATTGCAAACATTTCAGCCATGAAGGCTGTAATATCCTGCATAGTACACATCTTAGCTAAACAGGCAGTATGGTTGCAATGCTGGACTGAGCCCCCTGCATGCTGTAACACATGCCTTGCCAGTCGTAATGCACTTGGATTTGTTCTGCACCTTCCTTTTATTTAGGGGAGGTATTTTACACAAAGCTAGGAGGGGCTAAGACAAGATACAGCTGTCAATCTTACTTTTCCAACATTCAGGCAACTTTACATCATACTTTGCAGGTTCAAATCTCACAACCGCAACTTGGTTTCTCAAGCTTAATTAACATACCTTTTAGCACCTAGCCTCAAATGGAGGGAGGATTGGGAGGATTCCTATTGTGTCGGCTGCCCAGCCCAGGTTCTTCAGGAAAAGAGTCACCTGGGTGAATAGGCAACACCTGTAAACACTTTAGGGAGGGCATTTCTATTGTCCTTGGAACAGACCAGGGAGCCACCCAATTTACTTTGAAAGAATTTTCTGAGGGAAGAACTTTGCCTGTTGGAATTTTACAGTCTTGGCTTTTAGGAAAATATTACATTTATCTGTGTATATCAAGGACTTCATGTCTGCAATTAATAAAACATAACTGGACACTAAGATGAAAAATAATTTGTTATTAACTGTCAGGTGGCTAGATCTCTTACACTCGGGCCTATAGGGCCTCGAACCTCTGACCAGGCCTTCAAGGTCTGCAACAGTTTTCTAGTGATTTTTATGATGGTAATGTCCAAAGTAACCAAGATAGAGTTTCACCATCATTTCTCAGGAGTTGTACAAGTTTCTTCTCAAACTGAATTGTTTGTTCTTCTGGCAGTTCATGGAATAGGAGCATGGGACAATAATGTACCTTGGCAGTCTGGTTAGAATCCATTGTATCTTTCTCCCTCATAATATCTCCATTTAGAAGGCAGCTTTGCAAACATTTTAACATATTTTATTCCACTGTATTTTATACATTTTTATGTAGTCAATTTCATAATGCATATAGACTTTTGAATACAATTTACTTTGATTAATATTAAATAATCATACTATTGATTAATTACATAAAAATTTATGAATATTTATATCATAACATACACATTCATAATTTATTAAAACATTCCACTAATGTTAATTTTTTTGTTTATAAGTATATTGGAGAGCCTCAGTGGTGCAATGATTAAAGTGTTTGTCTTATAATTAAAAGGTTGATGGTTCAAATCAACTATCAGCAGCTTCTCAAGAGACAAGACAAAGCGATCTGCTCCTATAAAGGTTACAGCATAGGAAATAATATGGAATAGTTCTATTCTGTCATACAGGGTTGCTATGAGTAGAAATCGACTTGATGGCATACAATAATAATAATTGCATATCAGCATTTCAGTATTTATTAATTCTACAAAGTGAAATTACTGTTTCAATGTACAAAAATGACTTTTAGATGAGAAATGAATCTTTTAAGACTGGCTTTATTCATTTACAATAATATGAGTATTATGACCAAATACTCACATATCTGATTAGACAAGAACTATGGCTTCATTGCTTTATCAAATTTTCTTTAACATTTGTGAAGATGACCTTGCTTTTTTTTTTAAAATGTTTTATTCATTTATGCATCGTTTACCCATGGCAGGCACTGTTCTGAATGGTTTGATCATTTAATTTTCATCATAATATTCCATAATATTATAAAATTCATGTATTTATCATCTGAATTTTATAGATAAATAAATTTTGTTGTTGTTGAATGCTGTTGAGTTGATTCCAACTCATAATAGCCTTGGACACAGTGTCTGAGGAGCAGCCAGTGGAAGTGAACTGGAATCAGTAACCTTGTGAATCTCAGTCCACTATAAGAGGAATTTAACTTTTTCCCATTTGTGGAAAAGCTAAGACTTGAATTCAGTCAGGTCAATTATAAAGTCAATCTGTGAAATCATGACTACCTGTATTTCCAGTTTCCACTTACAACCAAACGGCCACCACTCATCTGTCAGTTTGTCGTACTGTGGTGGCTTGTGAGTTGCTGTGATTCCGAAAGCTGTGGAACCGGTATTTTAAATACCAGCAGGGTAACCCATGGTGGACAGGTTTCAGATAAATTTCCAGATGAAGGCAGACTAGGAAGAAAGTGCCGAACTACTTCGGAATATTTAGTCACTGAAAACCTTATGAATAGCAGAGAAACACTGTCAGATATAGTGCCGGAAAATGAGCCCCTCATTGGAATGCACTCAAAATTCAACTGGGGAAGAGCTGCTGAGTTGACGGTGATGACGTGAAAGGAGTAAAGCCATGGGAGTAAAGCCCACATGACCTTCGTTTGCTGTTGGGGCAGAAATCAAAATGAAGAGAAACAGCTGTAAACATCCATTGAAAATCAGAACATGGAATGTACGCAGTATGAATCTGAGAAAATTGGAAGTTGTCAAAAATGAAATAGAACGCAAAACATCAATACCGTAGGCAATAATGAGCTGAAATGGACGGGTATTGGCCATTATAAATCTGACAACCACATGGTTAACTATGCCAGGAATGACAAAATGAAGGTGAATTGTGTTACATTCATTGTCAAAAAGAACATGTCCATATCAGTCATGAGGTACAAAGCTGTCCGTGATAGGATAATATACATGTGCCTACAGGGAAGTCCACTTAATATCACTATTATTCAACTGTATGCACCAAACACAAAAGCCAGTGAGGATGAAATAGAGAATTTTACCAAATTCTTCAATCTGAAATTGATCAAACATGCAATCAAGATGTATTGCTCATTACTGATGATTGGAATGCAAAGGTTGGGAACAAAGAGGAAGGATCAGTAGTTTGCAAATATGGCCTTGGTGATAGAAATGATGCTAGAGAATGCATAATAGAATTCTCCAAAACCAATGATTTGTTCATTTCAAATACCTTCTTTAGACAGCATAAGAGATGACTTTACACATGGCCCTCACTAGATGGTATACATAGAAATTAAATTGACTACATCTGTGGAAAGAGATGAATGAAAAGCTCCATATCATCAGTGAAAACAAGGCCAGGGGCAGATTGTGGAACAGACCATCAATTGCTCATAAGCAAATTCAAACTGAAGCTGATGAAAATAAAACAAGTCCATGAGAGCCAATCAAATATATGACCTTGAATATATGCCACCTGAATTTAGAGATCATCTGAATAACAGACTCAATACATTAAACAGTAAAGACTGAAGACCAGAAGAGTTGTGAGATGACATCAGGAACATTATACAGGAATAAAGCAAAACGTCATTGAGAAGAGAAGAAAGAAGGAAAGGTCAAAATGGACATCAAACGAGACACTGAAACTTGCTCTCCAGGATAGCGGTGATAAAGCAAATGGAAGAAATGAGCTAGTCCAAGACCTGAACAGAAAATTTCAAAGATCAACTCTAGAAAATAAAGCCAATATTACAAAAAAATGTGCAAAGATCTGGAATCAGAAAACCAAAAAGGAAGAACACCTTCAGTATTTCTCAAGCTGGGGGAACTGAAGAAAAAATTCAAACCTCGACTTTAGTTATTGAATGATTCCCTGGGCAAATTATTGAATGTGCAGAAAGCATCAAGAGAAGGTGGAAGGAATACACAGCGTTACTGTACCAAAAGAAAATGGTTAATGTTCAACCGTTTCAAGAGGCATGATCAAGAGCCAATGATACTGAAGAAGGAAGTCCAAGGTGCATTGAAGGAATTTGAAAGAACAAAGCACCAGGAATTTATGGAAGAAAAATTAAAATATTTCAAGAAAGTGATGCAACACAGGAGGCACTCAACTCACCTCTGCCAAGAAATTTGGAAGACAACTATCTGGATGAATGATTGGAAGAGATCAATATTTGTGCCAATTCCAAAGAGAGGTGACCCAACGGAATGCGGAAATCATCGGACAATCTCTTTGATATCTCAAGAGAGTAAGTTTTGCTAAAGGTGGTAATTCAGAAATGGCTACAATCATACTTTGATAGAAAACTTTCAGAGTTTCAAGCCAGATTCAGAAGAAGCCATAGAAAGAGGGATATCACTGCTGATGTCCAATGGATCTTGGGCGAAAGCAGAGGATACCAGAAAAGATGTTTACCTGAGCTTTATTGACTGTGCAAAGGCTTTGATTGTGTGTATCATCACAAGTTATGGACAACATTGTGAAGTATGAGTATTCCAGAACACTTAATTGTGCTCATGAGGAATCTGTACTTGGACCAAGAAGCAGTTGTTGGAACAGAACATGGGAACACTGAATGTTTTTAAGATTAAGAAAGGTGTGTGACAAGGTTGTATTATTTCACCATACTTATTCAACCTGTATGCTGAGCAAGTAATCTGAGAAGCTGAGTTATATGAAGAAAAAACGTGGCATCAGCATTGAAGGAAGACTCATTAACAACCTGCGATATGCAGATGATACAACCTTGCTTGCTGAAAGTGAAGAGGACTTAAAATATTTACTGAGGGAGATCAAAGAGCACAGCCTTAGGTATGGATTATATCTCAATGTCAAGAAAACAAATATCCTCACTACTGGACCAATAAACAACATTCTTATGAATGGAGAAAAGATTGAAGTTGTCAAGAACTTCATTCTTCTTGGATCAACCATCAACACTCATGGAAGCAGCAGTCAAGAAATCAAAAGACGTATTGCATTAGGCAAATCTGCTGCACAAGAACTTTTTAACATGTTGAAGAGCAAAGATGCCAGCTTTAGAACTAAGGTGTGCCTGTCTCAAGCCATGGTATTTTCAGTAACCTCATATGCATGTGAAAGCTGGACAGTAAGTAAGGAAGACCACAGAAGAATTGTCGCATTTGAGTTATGGTGTTGGAGGAGATTATTGAAGGTGCCATGGGTTGCCAAAAGAACCAATAGATCCATTTTGGAAGAAGTGAATCCAGAGTGCTCCTTGGAGGCCAAGATGGCCAAACTTTGTCTCTCATACTTCAGACATATTGTCAGGAGTGACCAGTCACTGGAGAAGGATATCATGTTTGGTAAGGTGGAGGGTCAGAGTGTTCCTTGGAGGCCAAGATGGCTAGGCTTCGTCTCTCATACTTTGGACACATTGTCTGGAAAGAACAGTCGCTGGAGAAGGATGTCATGCTGGGTAAGATGGAGGGTCAGAGAAAAAGAGGAAGACCCCCAACGAGATGGATCAGCCAGGTGGCATCATTGATGGCATCAAGTGTGGCAGCAGTAGTGAGGTTGGCCCAGGATCGGACATTGTTTTGTTCTGCTGTGCATGGGGTCTCTATGAGTCGGTTCCGACTCAATGGCACCTGACAAGGTGGAGGGTCAGAGAAAAAGAGGAAGAACCCCAATGAGATGGTTTGGCCAAGTGGCAACGTTGATGAACTCAAGCATGGCAACAGTAGTGAGGTTGGCCCAGGATCGGACATTGCTTTATTCTGCTGTGTATAAGGTCGCTGTGGGTCAGTACTGACTCGATGGCACCTATCAACAACAACAACAACCTGCCTTTCCGAGTTCTGATGTAGTGCTCTGGGTTAATGTACTGGACTGCAAAGTTGATTTGAGTTGCAAGGTTGGTGGTTCCATCTTATCAGTTGCTCCTTGGAAATCCTATGCAGGATTGCTATAGGTTGGAACTGACTTGATGGCACATAACCACCACCACCACCTGTCTTTCAGAAGTCAGATTTGTTATTTCTTCATATGTGAATTTTTCTCTGTCCATTTTTGAGCTGAATATTAACAAATTCCAAGGGTTGGGAGTAGCACATTTATTTATTTAAATGTGACAGCTGTTATGCATAAAGGGCAAATAAGTTATATAATAGCTGTTAACCATTGAAGGGTTTTAAACAGAAGAGTGACATAATAAAATCTACATTTTTCTGACTATCTTTTTGACTTCACAATGAATGACTAACTGAATCTAATTTTTTGGTAATGTAATTATCTAGATCTGGAGTTAATTGGCCAACTTTTTCTATGAAAGTCCATTTAGTAAATATTTTTGGCTTTGTGGGATACAAATTGACCTCTGTTGTATTTCCTTTCTATTCTATTGTTTTTTTCTCATCCTCCTCCTTTTTCTTGTGCTAGTGTGAGGACATACAATAAGCACTTTACTGCAAGATCTGTTTGAACCAGAAGGTTGGTGGTTCAAACTCATCAGCTGCTCGTCAGAAACTCTACACAGGGTTGCTATGAGTTGGAACCGACTTGACAGCACTTAACAACAACAAAAAGGAGCTGTGGTAGCATAGTGCTTATGAGTCGGTCTGCTAACCTCAAGGTCCGCTGTTAGAAGCTACCTGCTGTTCTATGTGAGCAAAATGAGGCTTTCTGCTCCCGTTAAGATTTACAGCCTCGGAAACCCTATACAGGGCCACTAAGAGTCAGAACTGACTCCACGGCACACCACCACCACCACCACCACCAACAACAACAACAACAACATCCTTTAAACTCGTATACAAAATTATGTCAGTGCTGAATTTTACCAGTGGGCTGAAGTTTGTCAAACTATGGCCTTGATAATGTAACTATTCATTTTAAATCTCCCACTAAAAACAAATAAATACTAATGAACTATTTGCAACATCCAGGTATTCCAGTACAAATATGTTGCTGCTGTGTGCCATCTAGTTGATTCTGATTAATAGTGACTCGGTATAATAAAACACAATTTCCTCATAGGCTTTCCTAGGCTGTAGTCTTTATGGGAGCAGATCGCTAAGTGTTTTTGTCTCATGGAGCAATGGCAGTGTGTTCAAATTGTTGACTTTTCAGCTAGTAGCTGCATGCTAAAACATTGTACCACCAGGAACTTTTAGTACCAATCTAGGATATTTAACAGTAAGAGTAATTGCCACAGGGTACATGGGAAATCTTTGTAATATTTGCTAATTGTTTTGTAAATCTAAAACTTTCTGTAAGCTCTTTTTGTTGTTATTAAAAATGAGCCAGATGTGTTTTAAATGATGACTTCTGTTGATATGTGACTGCAGTCTCCTGTCAAAGTTTTTAAATGTTTATTTAAGTCTACATAAAGAGTGATTTTGTTTTACCTTCTCTCAGTTACTAAGAATGATTATTGAGAATAGAGTGTTTAACTCTTTAATTTTTATTGTAGATTTATTTCTCTTTATAGTTTTGCCACTTTTTACTTTATTTTCATCTATGCAATATAGTATAACTAAAAAATATTTAAGATAAAATACTGAAAAAACAGGCAAAGGGAAACAAATGACTATAATAGATAGAATTCTAATGGAAACCAGGAATAAATGGAATTTTACCTTTAAAAGCTTTACAAAAATAATTGGCAAGCAAGATTTTTATAAATTGTAAAGACATCCTTCAAAAATGTGCACAGAGATTTGTGGTATAAGTAAAATTGCTTATCATCTCCTAGATTTATAATAATCTAGAACTAAGGGATCCTGATATGGTGCTATAAGATAAGCAGTAGACCACAAGGTTGGTTTGAACTGCAGGGTTGGTAGTTCAAACTCACAAGTCACTCCTCAGAAACTCTATACAGGGTTGCCATGAGTCAGAAACAACTTGACAGAATTTAATAACAGCAGCTCATAACTAAAGAAAACTGTGAAACATTTTAAAAATTAAAATATATTTGGTCTGAAAGCAAGTCTTAACATATTTCAAAGGATTAAAATAGTCAAAGAATACACTTGAATTAGAATCCAACAAGATGAATACGAATAAAGGACTTGATAGGTTACAGAATGGACAATGGGCTCAAGTGTAGCAAAGATTCTGAGGTTGGTCCAGGACCTGACAGTGTTTCCTTCTGTTGTGTATAGCGTTACTATGAGTTGATACTGACTCGATAGCACCTAACAACAAGAAGGTTAAAGAAGAAAATACAATAAAATCAGAAAATATCTTGAGTTGACAGATAAAATACATATATTCTAACCACAGGATGCAATTCAGGTAGTACTTGTTAATAAATGCATTGGTATTTATGCATATGTTTTGAAGAGAAGAAGTGCTGAAAGAGAAACAAGACATGGGTAACTTTGTGTAGGATAAAGCATGGGTAAAGCAATTTAATACTTTTAGTTTTTTCTAAGAATATTTTGATAGTTGATGGCTTTAGTTTTTCTATAAGAAATGTTGTTACTATCACTTATAGTTTTTATCTAGTTGGAAATGTAAAAATCTTAGGAAATAGTCTTGAATATAGTTTTTCCTTATCTTACACGTTCAAACAGAATTCATCAGTCAGCCAGTGCTATTGACTAAAGTTTCAGCATACACTGTTGTTAAGTGCCGTTGAGTTCCAACTCACAGCGATCCTGTATAGGGTTTCCCAGGAACAGCTGGTGAGTTTGAACTGCCAACCTTGTAGCTCAAACCAACCTTCTGGTTCAGTGCTTTAGACCACCATACCACACCAAGACTCCCAGCATCTACTACAGAATAGTATTTTTTTTACATAAGCCTATATATATGCATTCTGTGTTTTATATGTAATATATATGTTGTTTTCTTTTTTAAAAAAATAATTTAAATCCTCTGCCCATAGGTGGTAACAGCTACCTCATCCCTTGCTTTGGGGATTAATATGCCATGTAAATCTGTTGTTTTCACAGAAGATTCTGTTTATTTGGATGCCTTGCACTTTCGACAGGTATTTAAATTGCATGCCTTTTATTAAACCAATCCACACAGAGATCTGGACCATCCATTAGGTGCACCAAAATAAACCATGCTTACTCAACTACATATATACTATAAAAATACTTGTAGATGGCTTCTATATATGACAATTTATGAATACAATTAAGTTGTAATTCTTTTCAAGTAATCATTGACTGGCTAAATAGATTAGTTGCCTTCACAATGGCCCCTGTTGTTGTTGTTGTTGTGAAGTGCTGTCAAGTCATTTGCAACCTATAGCAACCCTGCATAGGGTTTTCAAGGAGCTGCTGGGAGCTTGAACCCCTGACCTTGTGGTTCAATCAACTTTGCAGTCCAGCACATTAAACTACAGTGCTACACCAAGATTCCCACAACAGACCCTAGTTGGTAAATTAAAAAAAGAAAAGCAATATTAACTAAAGGCAATCACTAATTAACTAAAGGCAATCTTTTGAGCACCCGGTTGCTACTAAGCATATTCTATTCATCTGTTCAGTGATTATAAATTGAGCATATACTATGTTCCTGGTTCAGGCTAGTTTCTGGAAATATATAAATAAATAAGATAGCAATTGCCCCTTCTTTAGAGGTTATTATCTTTAAGTAGAAATTGAGACATTATTTCTGAAAAGGGAACACATTAAAAAATGTATTTGTAAAATATGTATTTTTTTAATTTGCTAAAATATACCAAAAAACAAGTTCCTAAAACTTCAGGCTTTATTTTTGAAAGTTTACTGTTCCAGATGACATAGTTAAATAAAAAATTAACCACTTATATTATTAAGTTTTGAAGTTATTTTAAATTTATGTGATTATCCCTTTTAGATGTCTGGTCGTGCAGGGAGACGTGGAGAAGATCTTATAGGAAATGTATTCTTCTATGATATCCCATTACCCAAGATAGAACGGCTCTTAAAATCAAACGTGCCGAAACTGAAGGGTCAGTTTCCTCTGAGCATATCCCTCGTTCTCAGACTTATGCTGTTAGTTGCCAAAGCAGATGACAAAGAGGATGCCAAAGCAAAGGTACACTGTTTTATATTATTTAAATTACCTAGATAAATACAAACATTTTAGCTCAATTTTTCAATAACTTACGTAAAGTTAAGGGAATGAAAACCAATAACATAAATAAGCATCTAGTAATGTTCAGACTCCTGGTGTGGCTCTGTAGAATCAGAACTGTACCATGGGCTACAACGTCAGGAGTTCCAACCCACCAGCTGCTCCTCGGAAACCTATATAAGGTCATTATGAGTCGGAACCAACTCCACGGCATTCAAGGAGAGCAACAATGTTTGCTTCCATTTCATTGTACATCTATCTGATACAAAAACATGCTTTATAAATGTTTCAAATATATGAAAAACTAAATTCACAATTTTCCTGTGATTACACAATTTCAAGTTCTACAAATACTGGGGATTTTTTTTTTTTTCCTGTAAATATATATGGCCATTAAAAAAAATAAAATGTTAAAGAAGGTAATTGGTGGTGGTGGTTGTGTGCCATCAAGTCGGTTCCAACTCCAACCTTTTATAGGGTTTCCCAGGCTGTAAATCTTTACAGAAGCAGAAAGCCTAATCTTTTCCCTCAGAGTGACTGGGAGTTTCCAACTGCTGACCCTACAGTTAACCGCCTAACTCATAACACATTATGCTACCAGAGCACCTTAAGAAGAT